ACACAAATAAAACTAAAAACTCCAAAATTAAATTTATAATTTAATTTATACATTAACCATGTACATAAATATAGACAAGTTACACAATTACAATTTATAGCTCCACAATTAAATTAAAATTTGAATAGGCAAGAGTTACAAAATAAGCCTATAACTCTAAATATCGAATTAAAATTTAATAGTCATGAGTTATGTATGAAATTATCACACAATAAATTTGTAAATAATGCTAACAATTCACATGTAAATAATTCTTGAAATTTCAAAATAATTTGCATGCAAATTACACTAAAAAGCAATGGGATTTAGATAATTCACATGTATATCATATTCGAAAAGTAGAGCCGGTTAGCATGTCTATTTTAACTAAAAAATTAAACACTTATCAACATGCAAAGTATATTATAAATGTATAAAATAAAAAGACATACAAAGCATGATAGGAAATCATGAACCATGCTCATAGAATAAAATTATACTAAAACAATAATTATGCCAATTTTACTTACAGATCTAGAAATAAAAGTATTCTAATTAAATTTGAACAATTAGAACATAGCATTGCAAATACTAATTTACAATCATGTATTTTCAGGAAAACCAGTGGGCTATTTTCCCAGAAATAATCCTAGCACATGTGTTAATATTTTATTAGAGATATCTACAAAGCAAACAAGGCAAAGGAAGCAATAAGCAAATAAATATATTTTATATATATTCCCCTAATCATGCTGGTGAATTTAGCATAGGTTCTCAAAGATATATATATATATATATATATATATTATAATAAAACTATTAGCACACAACCAAGTTAGGAAATCTAGTGTGTAAGCCACGAGCAGAAGCCAAACAATGGGAGTGAAACAGTGTTCCTATGCAAACAGTGCTAGGCGCATGCAAATCCAAATTTTTATTTTGCATAACTGGTAAAGCAGTGTACTTAAAGATGAATCGATTTGGTAATACTATGAAAAACATATAATCTGTTTTAAGTTTGTTATATAAATTGTGTGATTAACTAAAACAAATAGATTCATATGTTACACACAAATAGATTCATGATAGATAATTTAAATTTCAAAATTAAGAACTTGTCGGAAATTGTAAATTACACAAGAAAAGAACGCAAACCGAAACCTATACTAGACAGTCTCCTTAAAACAGATTCGCTGCCTCACCGGTTGGGTGTTGGAGGTTGTTCGACGCCTGTTTCGCAGAATACGACAATTGAATCAGCTACAGCAAAGCACCTACTACGCAGTTTCGACAAACAAAACAAAGGCAGCACTCTCTCACTAGAAAGAGTAAAATTTTAGAGGAAACTTTAAACACAATTGGACAGCAAACTTTCTGGTGTAGAAGAATGAATGAGAGGGTCTCATTTTATACACATGGAAGGAGAGGAAAAGGCTCCTACAACAAATGCACGTTTTATTTTTGCAAAACTCCCAAGACATTAATCCAATTTTATTTTTGCAAAACTCCCAAGACATTAATCCATCATGAATACAAAGGAGTTACCAGGTGTTATACATATGTGTATTGTGTATAATCCTGCAGCCACCTTTTCCAACACATCTTTCACGAGGCCAACTTAATAAGTCAATTTCTCATTCAAATCTTAATAGTTTTTTGTCATTTTTTTGTGGTGTAAAGATTTCATTACAAAAAATCTAAACTCACTTTAATCCATCTCCAATAAGGAGTGGCACCCACTTTAATATTGCATTAAAGTCACCAAAAAATTATTATTTTCCAACAAATGTAAGATTTATTATATGCTAAAAATAAAAATTATAAAAATAAAACTGTTATATCATATAAAAAAACTGTATAAAAGGTCAAGAAATCCAATAAATAAACTCCCTAACACATTCATGAAAAAAAAAAAAAAACTAAAGTTAGGCCGAGATCAGGATAAAAGCGGTTTTTGTCAAAAAAACGTTATAAATGTATGTAAAATAATCAAATTATATCTTTTTTTTGCTTAAGCTGATATAAAATAATCAAATTAGTGGAAATTTTATTTTTCCCTCCAAATTATACCTCGATGATTAATTTAATTTATGTAATTCTTATAATTTTAATTTTACTCCTAAATTATTCAATTTTGAATTACTTTCATCCTTGCTATTAGTTGCCATCTATAGTGAGACGGCACTTGCTGCTGTCTTCATTTGAAATTTTATTTTATGCTTCAAGCTATCTCCAAAATATCAATTAAACCCCTAAACAATATAAAATTTGAGGGTCTAATTGATATTTTTGATATAGTTTTTTTTTTTTTGGGGGGGGGGTGGATGCCGCATTTTTTAATGAAATTTTATTGTTTATAAAAATATGTTGGATGAATAACAGAGTTGTAGGTTCATCCGTTTATTCCTTGTTTTCAGACCACAGATATTGTGTGTGGATGTTCTTGCTTCGGGATTTTTTTTTTAGAAGTCAGATAAGGCATTCTTTGGTAATTAATTTCTTGCATTGGATTATGGTAAAAAAAAAAAAAACAACTAAAGCTAGGCCGAGATCAGGATAAAAGCGATTTTTGTCAAAAAAAGGTTATAAATGTATGTAAAATAATCAAATTATATCTTTTTTTGCTTAAGTTGATATAAAATAATCAAATTAGTGGAAATTTGATTTTTCCCTCCAAATTATACCTCGATGATTAATTTAATTTATGTAATTCTTATAATTTTAATTTTACTCCTAAATTATTCAATTTTGAATTAGTTTCATCCTTGCTATTAGTTGCCATCTATAGTGAGACGGCACTTGCTGCTGTCTTCATTTGAAATTTTATTTTATGCTTCAAGCTATCCCCAAAATATCAATTAAACCCCTAAACAACATAAAATTTGAGGGTCTAATTGATATTTTTGATATAGTTTGGGGGGGCAAAATAAAATTTCATTAACATATCAGCAACTTTAGCTTGATTATAAATGACAGCTAACGCCAGAAGTGAAATTGATCCAAAATCAATAGTTTGTGTAAAATTAAAATTATAAGTAGGAGGATTAAATTGATCATTGAGATATACTTTGGAAGGTAAAATAAAATTTCCTCATCAAATTATATGTTTCTTTGCATAAGTTGATATTATCTTAATTGGACACGAGATGTTCTATCTCAAATTATATTTTGAAATTTTAGTAAAATCTAATGATTATTAACAAAAGAAAGTATAGATTAGGAATCAGGTCTTTGGCCCCTTTGACAAAAAGGAAAGTAAAAGTAAAAGTAAAAGGGGGAAAAAACTGCTTTTAATTCAAAGATGGGCGTAGATTAGAAGCAATTAATTTGTTAAATATAACCATTAACTATCTGCAAATTTACACAAAAAAACAAAAAAAAAAAAAAAAAAAAAAAAAAAATCTGCCAACAAAAACTTCAAAATTCTACGATCACTAAAATCGATTTCAAAATAAGTCTAAATCCAAATACTTTCTTAAATTAAGATGACAACTTAAGATAAATCAAACCCTATATATATATTTAATCATCCAGCAGTGTAATGTAAAATGATTTGAGTGAAAAGTGACTACACGCCTTTATTTGGTACCCGCGACCCTATCAGTTAGGACTGGGCATAGGATTATTTGACTTGTGAAAACTGCCCAACTCGAACCGCCCGTATCTATTTGGGCTGTTTCGCATAGTCATTATGGTCGGATACGGGTTAGGATTTTTCTTGCTTTGCGAGTTGCGAAAGGATCGCTGGTTTTACCCACACTTGCAGTCATCCGTCCGCATCTGTATACAATTTTTTTTTTTTTAATATAAATTTGGACCGTCAGATTTTCTTGTAAATTTTGTAAGTGTGACCCTAATCTTCTCTTCTCTCACTCACTTACAAGTAAACAAATGTCTTGCAACTTCTTTTGCATTGCAAGTGTGTAAATTTAACAAATACGAGTAACTTGTAATAAATGAGTAAAAAGACTTACTCATAGTTATGCTTATTGTTTTTCACTAGTTAATATATTCAACAAATCCTAAAATCAATTTTTTAAAAGAGATATTTGTTTTATTTTTATTAAAACTACGAATTTTATTTAGTTTATACCTTTTTTGCAAAGTGAATAAGAGTATATTGACTAATCCTGATATGTGCTTATGGTGTTTCCTCCTGCAAATAAATTAGATAGATAGGCTGTAATTTGTTAAGATAAATCATTTAAAAAATAATTTCATGATAATAATATTAAAAAATATATGTGATTTTATTGCCCAAAATAATATTTTAAAAAAATGGAGGGAAATGACCCCAAAAAAATATTTAAAAAATAGAAAAAAAAAACAAATCCAAAAATAAATTTTAAAATGAAAAATCCAATCCACAAACCGTTCCCACATCCGTGAATCTTATCAACACAAACTGCAATTCACATTGCGAGTTCAATTTTTCTCAAACCGTAGTACGCAAGGGATTTGAGGTGGCTGATGTGCTGAGGGCACAACAGTCACTGCTGTGCAACGAAATGGGCCATTTTGAAACTCATTTCGATAATCCGAACCGTTCACGTTTTAAAAAACATCAAGTAGAGCACGTAAGCAAAAAATCAAGTTAATCGGATATCATTTACCTATTTATCCACTCACATTTGTATCTACAAAAATAAATAATGATTGTGATTTAAAATATTAAAATAAATACAAATGAGTGAATGAAAAAATAAACGATGTCCGATTAACTTAATTTTTTACAGACATTCTATTTGATGTATTCTAAAATGTGAACGATTTGGATTATCAAAATGAGCCCCGAAATAGGTCCATTTCACCGCAAAGCAGCCACCCCAAACCCGTATGTGTGCAAGTGAATCCAAACCACAAATTGAACCGTCAAAATTTGATCCACGAACATCCCTACTATCAGTCTCTTTTGGAATCAAAAACGTTTTTCTTTCAGATCAAGAATGTTTAGAACTCCCACCCATCATTAGCGATCTAGCTTTTACCAATCTAGTCCATTGTGGCTCTCAACAAACCAGTAATAATAATCATTCTTTAAAATAAAATAAAAGTAATAATAAAGTAAAAATAAAATAAAATCAGAGGAAGCAATTGATCAATACACACAAAGCAACTAATCAACATTAATGCCCCCATAGGCAGCAAGACTGCTTTGTCCAAGGGGATTATGCTAACAAGATTCATTACAGCAATAAAGCTTTTAAAGTTGCAGCATAACCTTCAACAAGCCATTACAAATACAAACTTTCAAATCCCCATCTCAACAAACTTTCAAAGTTGCAGCATCCATGCACTAATCACCTCCCACTTGCCTCTTCCACGAGTCCTCCACAATCAATTCATCAACTCCCCAATCTTCGTAACTGGAAAAGGACCACATAATTCTAGAGATCATATTATTGTCAATTGAAGAAGACTGCAGGAACGCTAAATATGCAGAGAACTCTACCTTCCATCTGGCAGGTAGCGGCGGATGGTGAAAGGTATCTTCCGCTGACGGAGCTCCTTCATTGCAATCTAAGACAAATATAAGAACGCACAAATAAAATAAAATAAACAAGCTAGAAGAGAAAATAGATGAAACTAGAGCACAATTTACTTGAGTGGATTACTTTGCGACCGTTGACTGATGAATATCTAACCAGTAAACAGCTTTTTTCTTTTTTTTATTCTTTTTTTTTTTTTTTTAAAAAAAAAGGTGAGGAAGAGGGGGTACATACGACATTATGAGAAAGAACAAAGCTGACACAAGGATTTCCAGTCTTTCGAGTCCTTAAACAATTAAACATTTTGAATTAGAAGTAATTATGCACCAACTGATTTTTTTGGTGCCATCAAAGAGCTGAACAATGAAAATAGAAGGCAAGTTCTTGATTAAATTGCTCGTAATTCGGAAGACCTTCAGGACTTGATATGTGTTTGAAAGACGCAGGATTTGCAGTTGAATAGTTTATGGGTAGTACAATTGGGAAAAGAGGATTCAGAATAAAAAGTTTGTCATAACAAGAATTGTTTTAACGACTTACGAGTGCCTTTTTTTCCCCAGAAAGAAAAATCATATTTAATTGCATACAAATCAAAGAAAGGATGACCATGAATATGGATCAGAAGTACACAAATAGAATCCTAATACACTTGGAACACAAGACAAATAAAAAATAAAAATAAGAAAAGAACAAAGAAAGGAGAAAAGGCAAGAGATTAAAGGAGAAAAAGAGAGAAACAACACAATAAAAAAAGTTAAAAAGTAAAACCCCTCTTCTAAATTGAATAGTCACATAATTCAAAATATATATTATTACAATCTTCTGATGGTGAAGAAACAACATTGATAAATCCAGGTATTTGGATCAAACTAAATTCACTCCAATCAAAGAAACCTAAAAAGGCAAACATGAAAAAATAAAAAATAAAAAAAATTATATTGGATACAAAAAATGATATAAACTTGGTTTGTGGTTGAAAAAACTAAATAAATAAATAAATAAAGTCCCATAAGAATATGACTATGACTCATAAATAAACAACTGACCCCATCATTATATTGTTCAACACCATCTCTTGGAACAAAAAATAAAGTCCTTCAGTTCTTAATCCTCGTGAGGTCCAAAGCCTTGGTTTTCAGCTTACAACATGGGTATCTTCTCTATGAAAGCCACACAAACATCAGTATGTAGATGGAACACACTACGAAATATTTGGAGATAATAGTGGCTTTACTTCTTTAAGTGAGTTAGTTGATCGAGAAACTATTGCCCAAAGGTGCTTTTACGAAAGCCGGTCATCGATGGCTAAGATCCTTTCCAAACTCTAAAGGAAGCTCACTTCTACCTTTCCTTGTGCATTTAGGGATAAATACAAACCGTAAATGTAAGGTCATGTTTGTTTAAACTGACTGGATAAGGGAGAATTACAATGCAACAGATTGTTAATCCTGAGATAAATAGTCCATGGTCTATTTTGCTGAAAATGATGGGTATTCCATATTTGTTTTGTCATGGTATTGGTTTTGTCATGGTATTGGATGTTTGGAAATGACTATTTTAGCGAATCTCACGTTTGATTAAAAAATTATGAAAAAGGATAACTTCTCAAAAGACCACTTTGTCCTTTTGAGTTTACAATGACAATGCTAAATTTGAAGCATATTTTATTTTATTTTACTAAGACCACTTTTAATTTTATTTAAATATAACATTAAATTTATATTTCCATTTATAATTTTGCTAATACAAAAAAGAAAAGAAAAAAAATAATAAGAAAAGACTGTTATACACTCTGTTATCAGAATCTTACGATTCACGATTCGATTCACAATTTTTGCAAAGTCAATACGAATCTATGATTGATCTATTTTGAAAGTGAATCTCTAGTGAATCACACGATTCACAATCGATTCACTTTTTACGATTCATGCAATTCTTGGAACTATCAAGTCTAACAAGTCTGACATATTTTTTACTTTTTCTTTCTTTATCTTTTTTATTAAAAATGACATAATACAACTTTTAATAGCACTTAGTATCAAAATAACCAATATATGAACATGATTTGTTATTATTTTAGTGATCATGGAATTTTTAATAGGATCCAATCAGATTCAGTCAGACCCAACATACACTTAACCTATATTCTTATTTTTTTTCCTTTAAATAATCAAAATACATCTTCTAAAGATGTTTAAAATTAAAGTAACTTACACCATGAATGCTATTTTATTAAATTAAATATAGTTGCATATTATATAGGTGAGGTCAATTATACAATTTAAAATATTTTAGACTCCAAAATAAAAAGATCCTAAATAATGCTTTCTAATTATTTTGTCATTGTTGCTTGAAAAAAGTATGCATGCTTATTGTCCAAATATTAATATCATTGTCAAATTATTGTTTACTTTGGAAATTGAAAATTTGTCTTTGTTTATTGCCTTTATCAAGAATCGTTGTTAAGAAATATCCACACACACACACACACACAAAAAAAAAAAAGGTAATATGATGATCTTACATAGGAACTTTTATTAACTTCTTACCTATTAAATTGCATAATCATCATTCAAAATAATATTTTCATTAATGTAAGTATAATATTTCATTTTCATAAGATACATTTAACATACACATTTCCAAATCTGTAGATATATTTTTCCAAATAATTTAGAAAAAAGTGACTAAATCTGTATGATTCACGATTAGATACGAGGCCAATTCGATTCACGATTCAAATCCCGATTTGACAACTATGGTTATACATCTTGAGATTAATTTACACATTTAAAAAATAAAATCCAACATATTTAAAAAAAAATTAAAAATTAAAATGAAGAAAAGAGATGCCATATAATGTTTTTCTTTTGAGCATTAGAAGTATATTCCATTTTATTATTTTGCTAATACAAGAAAAAAATAAAAGACTATTATATATCACAAGATTAATTTATACATGTTTACAACAATCCAACATGTTTAAAAAAATGAAAGAAAGATATGTCATATATTTGAAGGTCAATTTCGTCATTTAGCTAGCTAATCTAAAGGTTGGCTCAATCTGTCCATTTCTATCCCACACACCCCATGGGATTAAGTTATCTCACATAGGGCAACTAGTAGTTCCTACTAAACTATTAGTCCGACCTTTATTTTTCTAACCAAATATTGGACTAATTATTCCGTTGGACACGGAGTCCAACCCCATGGATCTATCCCAAATGCATAGAAGACTCTCCATGGATTGGTTGTAATGTTCACGAGATTGTATATAGTCAAACGTTCAGTGAGATGACTTTCCTACTAATTGAATCACTTGAATTAGTTGCAGTAAACGAGGCATTTGGCATCAAGTTGGGTATTCCTAGAAAAAAAAAAGTTGGCCAATAGCCACTAAATACGATGCTTGCTTTTTTATCCGCTGGGACGCCCTCTTTGGGAATTTTCTTTAATCTTAAATTGTGAACAAGTACAAAACTAAATTTTCCGAAGTACACCCTATACAAAAATCATGAAAGCCATCGATAATTATCTCTCTTTGTTTCTAGAACTCTTTCTTCATTTGTTTTACTCCAATTCACCTATCTCAGGAAATATCAAGTCAAGGATTGGAACAGTTATGCTGCTTATCAATGTCTCTATTCGACTCCTCCATCCGCCTTGAGCATTGAGAAAGGTTTGGAGTCAAGGTTCTGAAAAGCGGTTGCGGTTGCGAGGTGTAAAGGCCGTAGCGTAACGGTTGTGGTAATCGAAACCGTGAATTTTTTTATTTTTTGCACAATTTAAAAAAAACTTACCAATACGCATATTTTTTCCCCATAATCATATTTATTGGGTTTTAAAATAAATATTGATCAATTTTTGTAAGTTTTTAAATATGATCCAATATATTTTATATTTTTAAATCACTATAAACTAAGTTTTTTACATTTTATTTTAATAATTAATGACTTTATATGTCCTAAATCCATATTATGCTTGTGGCAACAAATTTTTTTTTTATTGGACTTGGATGTATAAAATTATTTTTTTAATTATTATACTTGTGGAAGCATATGCAACTTTTAATTTGAATAGTTTTAAAAAATAAATTATACATGCTAATGTAATCATATAAAAATTAAAAAATAAATTATAAAGAAATTTTTTTTGTTTGGGTTTGGATCACTTGAATATTCATTCTCTTTTTGAATAACTAGTAAATAAAAATAAAATAAACTAATCAAAAAAAATTGACATGTACAAAAAATATATTAATATATAATTATAGGTGTTATGTTTTCTAGATATTTTACAAAAAAAATCAATCACTAAACAATGACAAAAGTACAAGAATAAATAATAGCCTATATATATATAAATAGATAATGACCACACTTATTATTATTATTATTATTTTCAAACAATATATATAGATAGACGCATACAAACAAAATGGTTGAGTGATAACAGCTGAATAGAATAGTATAGGTCTTACAGGTTATGTAACGGTTGCGGCCGCTTTTTAAAACCTTGTTTGGAGCCCTTGACTAACCCTGATGAGGACAAGGACCCCTCAACTTTAAGCCAAGGGCTTACACCAATGTTTTGTGGCCATGTCTCCTGAGCGTAGTCCTCACCCCTTTCCCTATAAAGTTCATATGGCCTGGCGATTTTCTAGTTATTATACTTCTTAGAGTTATAGGGTGAGGAGCTGACCTACAAATCACATTTCTATTATGGAGTTTTAGAAGCCATAGTGGGTATGCTTAACCAATTCTGGCAACAACAGCATAACAATGAAATTGAAATGTTGGTCGCTTACCTAAGTTGATGGTGTATCTCAACTATATTTATTTGTAAAAAAAAAAAACACAGAACACTCGTTTCACAATAAAAAATAAATAAAAACATTGATATACAATTAAGTCCTAACTTTCACATATTCAAACCAAAGATTTGTTAATGTTGTTATTTTTAACCTCCCCTGACATGAGCATCAAGAAAGAAAATGAACAAGATGCAGGGAAGTCAAGACTCAATGACTAAGCAAGTTTTAATAAAAAATCATAGGAAGATAGGTGGGTAATTTTTTTTCTCTTATGCAAGGGTCAAGCCACTGTCCTTAAAGCACTAACATCTTTCCTTGTTTGTGGTGCCCGCTATCCGAGTGAAAATGACAACCATGTGAGATCAAAGTCACTTGTTGTCCATTTTCTCTCTATTCAACAAATGCCATCAATATTCACTCATTTCTTTACCCAAATCTCGTACAATATAGCTTTGGGTAGGGCATTTGTTCTTATCGCTCTGGGTTCCAATCTACATGACCTACAGGCAGTACAAAATACACCTCTTCCGCAGAGGTAGGTAGCAACCTAAAGGCCTCAAACGGGTGGGTATGTGTAGATTTGGGTGGGTAATAAAGGGTTAGGCTAGTAAACAATTCAACCCAAACCCGCCCATATAATAAATGGGTTTAGTTGGGTTGGGTTTAATTGGATAAAGGTTGGACTAATCAACCCGGACAGCCCGTTTAGTTTTTTGAACTTTGATTTTGCTGGATATATTTTTTTTTCTTAACAAAATATTTTTAAAAATTATATATATATATATATATGAATAGCTATAAAGCATGGGTACTTCGAAAAACATGTCGTACTACTACCAGGTACTTACCGGCATATGGTACCTTGTATGGTACTTCTGTATACATACCGGGTATAAAAAACACGTATCCAAGTTTTTTCTTCTTAATTTTTGGTCTACTCAGACGTACCTAATATATATCCAAGCCAAGCCGTACCGTATCTCAATTGAAACAATATTTTCTTCTACTACAGAGATAAAACTCTTTCACTAGACTTCTTTTTTATTTTTTATTTTTTATTTTATGCTTAGCATGATTTTAAAATTAAACTATGGTTTGTAAATTATTTAATATATTGACATTTAATTTTGATTCATACCTTTACTTTTGGCATTAAATGTTAATTATAAGTTGGACCTTAACAAATTAAACCATTTAATTAATTTTTGCATTACTCTAAATTAAAAATAAATATTTTTTTACAAGCATATCAAGCCGTATCCATGCCCTATTTTTTTTGAATTTTACCATATCAACATATCCGTATCGTACCAATGCCAATATTCATACCCATACCCGTACTTCATAGATGAATAGTCATATATTTGGAGGAAAAAAAAAAGGGAAGAAAAAGACATTGTTATGATTTGGGTTAATGTAATATGGAATTATATATGTAAAATAAGTTATAAGGTACGTATATGTACATTCTTGTTTTTGCATAATGTTACATCATTGCATGTATATAAGTAAATACATATGCATTATATTTTTTAAGTAAAATAACTAAAATGAGGAAACAAAATGAAAAATATATCTTATATCTAAGATCAAAATAATTTCACAATTCAAACACAAAAAGATTTATCTTTTGGCTTTTTAATATCATGGAGGGGGAAAAAAACAGTGAATGTCATATAATAATAAATAAATAAATAAATCAGATAAAGAAATCTCCAGGTGTTGTGTTAAAGGGGGAAAAATTAAAATGAATAGAGAGAGAGTGATTGATTCAGCTCTAAAGCAAGGGTTGCCAAGAAGCGCTCTGTTTTGGTTATAGAACACATGAGAAAAAATACATAGCCAACAAAGTCTGAGTTTCTAAACCAGTTCCATGGATTCACGTAAATTTTTTGTTCTAACCATGACCAACACAGCAAACACCCATATACAACCATTTCTAAACCGCATATTATGCGGGTTTATTTGGGCTACCCAATCACAACCCAATTAACAAATTGGATGAGTTTGGACGGGTTCGCAGGTACGGGTTAGCATTGCCACCTTTGTAGTAACCTGAGCTTTAAGGTAGTGTTTGGTTCACTAGAATGAAACGGAATGGAATGATAATTCCATCAAAATATTTATTTCTATGTTTGGTTGACTAAACAAATAAATACAAAATGTATTACAAATGGAATCATGATTTAAATTTCAAGATAATAGTCATTTTCTAACTCATTCCAGTGAACCAAATAGAGCATAAGAGTCTAATCAAGAAGGAATCAATAAAAAGTAAAAATTAAACAGATTGATAAGGTAGGCCATCAAGGAATGCAGGAGTGAGAATAAACAATGTAATTTAAGTTGAAGGAGAAAGAACAAAGCCGGAACAATGGAGTTAGTGACAAGATATCATTGTCAACATGTAGGCATAACTGTAAAAAGTAAAATAATTGATAATCAACCATGAAGTCCAGATAAGGCTTACATAAATTGAGTCAAGTTCAGTAGCATGGCATTGGCATTTAATAACAAAAAGAAGTTGTGAACTAAATACAAGTATAACAAAGGTGAAAGGGCAAGTGGAAAACAAAGAAAAGCAGTTATAGTCTTTTAACAAAGATCTTAAAGAAGCTCACCTCAAGTGGATCAGTTTCACCTTCTAACTCAACCATCACAGGTGCATTCATGCTGCTCACTCAAAGTCGAAAGTTAATATGTCATCCACTCAACTTGTTTTGATCTAACAATATTCTAAACCCACAATTTTCAAAGATATACCTGATTTGCAGGGCACGAGTGCCCAAAATTCTTGCACGCTCATATTTCGTCATATATTTTGAGGTCTTCCGAGGTCGTTCTCCTGGTTCCTCTTCTTGTTTTTCATTAGTTTCAGCTAAAAGGGGGTCAGTAATGTCATCGTGGTTGTTATTATCTGCTTCCTCTTCTAGTTCTACCCCTTCCTGTCAATAAGACCACAAATATTCAGTCACATACCAGTAATAATGCCCACTAATACATTAAAGGCATATCAAAGTAAAGACTTCTCACATCGGGCTCAGGCTCTAATGGTTCATCTTCATACCTGCACAAACAAAAAATTTCATCAACATAGAATAATAAGAAACCCAAAAGATTGATACACAAAGCTCAATCATTAAGATAAGATATTTCAAAACTATTGATGCGCATTCCAACACAGATGCAGATAACATCAATTAATAGGGCTGCTTTAGGGAATGCTCTGTGGCAACTATATGAGTATTAGTACTTAACACATGTATAATGGCATAGGCTACAAACTCACAACTAATTTAACATGGGATACATATTATTCCATGTCATTCCATGACCTAATAAAAACATTTAGATGGTTTAGACCTGAAAACGATTCATTAATTGACACAAACACACGTCCCTATGAAATATGTACACAATAATATCTTTGAAGAAAAAGACAAGCATAGAACACCTGTTTCTTTAGGATGGCATCATAGAAAAATAAATAAGAAGCAATTCCTTCATCATTGGAAAATAAAATATAAAAATATTGATCTAATTGTGGTGGATTTGGTGTTTTGGGGCAACATCCTTTTAATGTCAATAAGCACTAGAAAGTAAACATAACATCAAAGTCCAGCCCATCATTTACAGATTTTTTACTTCCAGGCCAGGGCCAGCCCTGAATTTTTGAGACCTAAGAGAACTCTTAAAAATGAGGTTCTCTATTTATATTCACATGCAAAAAAAAGTTTATCAGTAATATGGTAATTATACACCACCCACACAAAGTTTGCTTCGCATATATAATTACTAAAATAATATACTAAAATTTGTTTACATATTTAAGTATAAAAGAAATCATTACATTACAAGAATTCAAATAGATCAAATACCGTTTTATTTAGTTTACAATTTAAAAATGAGTTAATTGCCTAAAAGTCCTATTTACAAATGCTATGGTAGCTCAGGTCCTATTTAAGATTTTTTTTGAACCAGTAAGTCTTGTTTAGTAAAACTGAGAATATTATCAGTTTTTCCTAATTTTTAAAACTAAGAATATTATCAATTTTACATAATATTTCAGATAATTATTTCACTAACTAATAAAAAAAGAGAATAAAATTAAACATTTTTGCCTTTTTACTTATTTGTTTGATTCAACTATCCAATAAAATCAAGAACATTATCAAGTTTTTTCAGTTTTAAAATTGAAAATATTATCAATTTTTTCCTTTTTAAAGGTTTTTTTTTTTTCTAATTTTGCACATCAATGTTCCATCATCATTTTGCTTTATAGACACAAAATTTTCAGTTTTGTACCCAAAAAAAAAAAAAAATCAGTTTTTTCATTATTTTCAAATATATATATATATATATATATATGTTTAGTTTTTTTTTTTTTTGTACATAATTTTTTTTTTATTTTTTCAATTTGATAATTGATGTTTTAAAATTTTGAAAATCAAAATAAATGTCAAATCATCATGTTCCTTTATAGATAACTATAAATGCTGAACAATCATTGTTTGAAGGGTAATTCTGACTATGACAAATTTAATGGGACTTGAAGGTCCAAACAACTCCTGATGGAGTATAAGTTAATAAATTAGGACTTGTGTGTAAATGTCCCTTTAAAAAAAAAGATTTCTGGTGAAAGATCCCTCAATCTCAACTTTTCCTACAAAAAGGACAAGCTAAAATGTTTTCATTCATTATAGACAAATATCATAATATAATTAAAATATAAAAATACCCAAAGTTTTACTAGTCTCATTCCCTACAATCTCAAAATACCACCACCGCTGCCGCTACCCATTGGCCACAAGCCACCGGTGGTCGGCGATTGTCTCTAGCTGTCGGCCATTATCTCTGGTAGTCGCCGACGATTCCTTTCCAACTGTTGATGACCGGCCACCATTTTTCTAGTGAACATTTTCTAAAGTGAATCTCCGACGGCTATTTTTCAACAACCACCACCACCACCACCACCACTACTGCCACACTATCACCACCACTTAGTAACTAACAAAAAAAAAATTATTCAAAATTTACTATTTCCTAGATAGTAAAATTTTACAGTATCAATGTCAATGAAACTAAAATTTTACTTTATGAATTTAACATTTAAACAATCAATTTTCACCATTATTATCACCATCACCAATCACCAAACTATGAATTTACCATTGCTAGTAGAAATATTAAACAAAACATTTATCAAAATATTGAATAAACAATATTAACCAAACCAAACCAAGGGAAGCCTTAAGTCCCATTAAATGGGGTTAATTGCATGAATCGTTCTTCTCCACTCAACTCTATCCAAGGCCATTTCGTTAGTCAAATTAAAGAAATTCATATCTCTATTTACTATACTAATCTACGTCAATCTAGGTCTACCCCTTCCCCTAACACTACCATTCACCGTCATTGTATCACATCTCTTCGCTACTGTCTCTGTTGGTTTCATTTGTATATGACCAAACCATCTCAATCTATTCTCTCTCAACTTATCTTCTATTGGTACTACTCCTACCCATTCTCAAATAAACTCATTCATAACTCTATCTTTTCTAATCTTACCACATTCACCTTAGCATCTTCATCTCAGCAATACTCATCTTATCTACATATTGTTTCTTAGTTATCCAACATTTCATCCCATACAACATCGCTAGTCTAATAGCCGTTCTATAGAAAGACTAAATAGACAACTCCAACAGCCTTTTTCTAACAAATTTGAGAATGTTATCTCATACATGAAGTTGTTAGTCTCAAATCTGAGTTCGTCGATAACAGATCCGAGATGGCAGAGGTTGAAGACAGTGGTCACCGGTGATAGATTTGAGACCGCGACTAATTGTGGAGATGATGAACGGCGCCAGTGGACGATGAATCTGAGACAGCAACGGATGGGGATGACGATGAGCAACGCAAACCGATGACGGAAATGGTGAAAGTGAGAAACGATGGCAGAGATGATGAAGATTTGAGACACAGAGAGAGAGAGAGAGAGAGAGATACAATAGTGAAATTGGTTCTTAAATAAAGAACAAAGTTGTCCTTTAATTTAATGCATTATAGTTTTTTGTCCTTTACATCTACAAAAAATTAAACCAATGACTTTTCCCAACAAATTAATTATTGTGTCCTTTTCCCAATATAAGTAAGTAATGAGGGTATTTTGACGACGTATCCCTTAAAAAAACACCAAATAAAATCTAAGACCATAATGCCCAACATTTCATCCCATACAACATCGCTAGTCTAATAGCCGTTCTATAGAAAGACTAAATGGACAACTCCAGCAGCCTTTTTCTAACAAATTTCAGAATGTTATCTCATACATGAAGTTGTTAGTCTCAAATCTGAGTTCGTCGATAACAGATCTGAGATGGCAGAGGTTGAAGACAGTGGTCACCGGTGATAGATTTGAGACCGCGACTAACTGTGGAGATGATGAACGGCGCCAGTGGACGATGAAGATGGTAGTTGTTGAAGGTAGATTTGAGACAGCAACGGATGGGGACGACGATGAGCAACGCAGACCGATGACGGAAATGGTGAAAGTGAGAAACGATGGCAGAGATGATGAAGATTTGAGAGAGAGAGAGAGAGAGAGAGAGAGAGATACAATAGTGAAATTGGTTCTTAAATAAAGAACAAAGTTGTCCTTTAATTTAATGCATTATAGTTTTTTGTCCTTTACATCTACAAAAAATTAAACCAATGACTTTTCCCAACAAATTAATTATTGTGTCCTTTTCCCAATATAAGTAAGTAATGAGGGCATTTTGACGACATATCCCTTAAAAAAACACCAAATAAAATCTAAGACTATAATACCAACAAAAAAATAAAATAAAATAAAATAAAAATTGAACCAAGTGTAATAAAGTATCACTTAAACATTACTCTCGTCATTTTAGTGATTTTAGTAGCAAAATTACTAAAAGAAAATTACTGATGATAAGTACTACTTTTCTCTCAAGATTACCACTATCTCTCTATTGCAATCGGCACCATAGCTAATGCCGCCACTTCCTCCATCACTACAAACTCACCATATCACAATATAAAAATTGAAAGACACAATTTGAAAATAATATATTTCAAATTTGATCTTATACATATCAAACAACTTTTTTTAATTTAGCACTTAAATTTTTATCAAACAACTTTTCAACTTACAAAATTCAACATTCAGTTCTTAGTATTTAATTTTCAATTTTCAGATTTATCAAATACCACCACAGTGATAAATTTGATATTTATTTATTTTTTAAAAAAATTTTTTTACATCCACTCCAAAACTACATTCTTTCGGTCTTAGAGAATTGTATTTTTAAATCAAGGCACTACGTTGTTTTAACTAAACCATAAAAGTAAAATAAATAAAAGACCACACAGTAGCTTTGTAATGGACAGTAATGTGCATCATTGTGGCTTTGTAATGGATAATGACGCTACATCATTTTCAAGTACAACAAATCGCAGAGCAGGCACCCCATGCCCCATGAATCATGACTCATCCAAAGGGTACTTCTTTCAAGTAAAACAACCTAAATATGAACTTATTTAAATTTTCATGAATTCACATGTTTTGCCTAAAATCCAAAATTTTGAATGGAATCGCTCAAGAATTAAGGTCTGCAGTAGTGTTGTTCCACTCAAAGTAAACCCTAGTATAACAGGCCCAATATTATGTTTTGTTAGGAAAACACAGTAGTCAGAATTTCATGGACCAACCTCGCTGTATAAACTATAGCAGTTCTCTCCCTACTGTTAAACATTTTTTATTTCATAAATAAATGCACAGGAAATCAACAGTACAAGATGAAGCCGATGAGGCGCAGTTAAATTATGATCAAATTGCTTTCAATTGAACTCAAAGGACAAAAAAAAAAAAAAAAACTAAACCCTAACTTCCAAACCCACAATAATCATGACATATTACCAATTGAAGAAGCAATTGGTTGCCAGAACAGAAGGAAAGATAAATAATAAATTCAAAATACATAAAGAATGAAAGCTGAAGTGGAGGAAGATATGAATTCATACAAACATCAAAGCTAGAGCGAGATAAGAGGGGATGATTAATGCAAGAGAGAAAGTTAAGGAAGTACGAACCCTCCGTCCATGTCGTAGTCTTCGTCTGCCATTTCCGCAAAACCAGAGTACACTCCCTTTCCTCTCCCTGTCGACCAAACACGCCCGCCCTCCTGCAACACTACGGCTATTTATAGAGGGTAGATGACCCCAAATGTGGTTCAAATTTGCGGTCCGGTGTGCAACTCGAGTCCAGATCCCCTCCTTGAGTCCCTTCCTTCATTCCCTCCTTGCAGGACCTTCGGGTCCACTCTGAGGCCCAGTTTTGATAATCCAAATCGTTCATATTTTTAGATTTATTCAGTATATTATACATGTAAAAAATCAAGTTAATCGGATATCAAAAAGTATGCGTTCAGAAAATTGGGACTACAAACTATTTTTTAATAAACAGTTTACCGAACACATACTTTATGATATTCGATCAACTTAATTTTTTACAGGTATAATATACTGAATAAATCTAAAAATATGAACGGTTCGAATTATCAAAATTGGGCCTCAAAGTGGGCCTGAAAGCCCTGCAAGGAGGGAATGAAAGACCGAAATGAAGGGGAGGATCCCAATTCATGTAACTCGGCCTTCGTTTCGTAAGTGATTTTTTTAATCAAAAGAAATTAAAAAATTATTAACTTGCACGAAAAAGTCAAAAATATATATATATATATATATATATATTTATTTTGTACATCTTTTCGTAAAAAATTAAAAAAGTATTCTAAACATATTAATTTTCTTTTACATTATATTTTAGCCAAAAAGTTAAAAAGTTGCTAAAAAGATATGTTCCCAAACGAGGCCTCATTTTCATTTTGAACACAAGGAAAAAAAACCCTAGGGTAAATACATCGACGAATTTAGATGTAGAGATACAATTTGAACCCGACCCGATGGAGACCCGAACCTCCCGTCCCCGATTAAGAGCAGTTTTTTCTCGAAAATATCCCATCTCTTCTCTATT